AGTTTGTAAAAAATGAATCCGCCTCAACAATATAGAACTTATCTACAAGCTGAAGATAGTTTCTTTGTTAGGGAGTCAACATGTGTAGACCACTTCAGGTTAGCATTAATGTTCAAACCCAGAAATTTCACTGACTCAACGAATTTAATATTGCTGTTATGAAGGAGCAAGGGTTGTAAAGCTCCTCTATACCATAAGGCCACCGTTTTATTGACGTTAAAACCCAGCAAACTAGTCAGACCAAGACTTGATCATAACGAGATCGCTGGAAACCCTAGAGTGGAGAGACACAGCATCAGAATCACTCCATGCTATGCTTGTGCTTTATTCCAGAGCGTGCATTTTCTCAAGAGCAAAACCGCCCCTTTGAGCCCTAAATATGACTGAAAATTCTCATCGCCTTACCCAATCTTTTAACGCCCTGCAAATACACCCCTTTTTTAAACTCCGAATTGGGCTGCAGGATAATTTGGCCCATTTTGGATTCGCGGCCATCATCCAGCAAAACGTTGTTCTTAACGAAGTTATCGGTTCTCAGTAGAATGTGACCGCCATCCAGAGTTTTTGTGCTGCGAACCAGGATGATGTTGTTCGAGTTCAGTTCGGAACCGTTGATGGTGCGAATGATTTTAGGGCCGGGTTTTGACATCTGTTTAGATGGTTCCAATAGAGGAGAAGCGGCTGGTTTCAGGTCGTCCACGGAGCCGTTTGAAGAAGCTGCAACCGAAAAATAACACTGGATTAAAATGGCTGCAATTTGCTCTGCACATTGTTATTATTAATTGTGGCAGTTTTCAGCCACGTGCTAGTTAAGCGCCTTAAATCATACACTTTAACAAATTACGAATTTTATGGAAGCGGATAGCGCGTCTTGTGCCCCATTAAATTTTATCTAATATTTCGTCTCCAGACCGGAAATGATACCTTCAAGCAATATTAAAAATTCTTAACAACATATGGCCAGACATGTAGACGGTCATTTTCCTTCTTGCCAACGGATGTAAAAACCAATGACTTCCATAAAACGGGATCCGTTTGATGGCACAAAGACATCGCGGGTTTATTCTTTGATAATCTAAGTGAAAACAGCAGCCTGTTCGTCACTGGTTAGTAGGGCCTTGGAAATTTCCCGCTGTCTACGCCAATGCCTGTTCTGAGCAATACAGGGTGGTTCAATGTGGATGTCGTTCCTTTTAAATGTGAGCTTTTTGCGATGGTTTCAGTCGTCACAATTTTTATCAAACATTTGCCTAAACCCAGTTTCGAAAATTCCTAGGAATCTCGTTTATTCCCCAATTTGATTAAAACTTTGCGAAAGCAAAGACGGCTTTGTTGCCTAAAACGCCAAGACAGTTCCGAAATTAGCGCCATTTCGTTTCTAGAATGCAAATTTTTTCAGACTTTTTCAGCAAAGTCGAATTTTAACTTCACCTTTTTTGCAGACCCGAATTGAACTTCCATCTGAATGAAACTTTGGGAAACTGGTAAGACACTTGTGTTCCAAAATATAGACTAGATCTAGAAAACATCAACTTTTAAAAGATCTTAAGACGCTTTAGATGACTTTTAAGTGAAAGAAAGATCCGCAAGTTGAAGTTCAAAAGTATCCCCCGGTTTCAACCCTTCTCCAACTTGAGCCAAACTTTGGCACAACGGAGAACGGAGCAAAAGTAAAGTATTTTAAAAAGGGATAAAAATTTCCGGTTTGTACCAGATCTAGTTTCAAAGATCAAGATTTATTTAGTTGCAAATTTTCTTTTGCAGACCCAACTTTAAAAATCCTCTCAGACCAGAACAGACAACGAAGTTCTTGAGCTTTCAATCAAATACATTTTTGTCAAATTTAAAATAAAGTTATTTGCAAATACCTCAGTGTTTTGTCGATTAATTTTGTCTACGACTTTCTGTACTGATTTTCTGTACTCTCTTGCAGAACTCTAGATGGCTACGCCATTGGATGTACAGTGCAATATCATCATGGTACAGTCGGATATTTTGCAAGACACGAACCGTTAAATGCAGGAAAATTTCTTGTTGAACATGGCATAACGGAAATGGTTACGATAAGTTCTGTGCCATTGATTTTCCGTTAACTAGCAAAAGGTAGAATAAAATTTTATTAAATGTTCCAGCGATCAAGGCGAACAAAATAACTGATATTGGCCAGGAGCAGGCTGATAGAAAGATCATTGAGGTTTGTTGTTATAGTCCAGCGCCGTGCACTCAACGTGTCCTTTTGACAAACTCTGCGAAAAATCTGCTCAATTTTCATGCCTTTCACTATTTGGCAGTCTCGAATATCAAAAGCAAAGACCGTAAATTTTTAACGCAAAATTTCGTGATAGCATTGATAGAGTTTTTAATGGCCCTTTCGGAATCCGCCAGTCATAAAAATGCGATTCGTGTAATTTAATTGCATGAGCAATGTGTTTTTGTTGTCTAGTTTATGCTTCCTGATGGGAAAATTACGATTCCATAAAGGCAGTTTTGGCTGGCGCAAAGTATGGAGCTTTGGCGGGTAAAAAGGTGACCTATATTTCAGTTGAAATAATTCACAAAAGACGGCGAAGAACGGGGGCGGGCGTTAGATGAGGAAAAGAAAATTTCAATTAAGTATGTAGAACGTGTTTGCTCGTTGTTGCAACAATAGAGCGCAATGTTTAAACTACGCCAATTTCGTCGGCACTCCACTGCTGAAGAATGGCCACCGCCAAGTTAAATATAAGAATTACAATGTGGAAAATTTGCATTCTGGAAATTACCGCATGATGGCCGACGTTCTTCCGGCACTTTAAATTTTAATGGGCGATTTAATAAATTACTCAAATTTCTGTCATATTTCGCTTGAGGAGATTTAGTGCATTTCGTCTCAATAGGCCAGAGTTCATTCCGAATGCATTTGCACCGGCTCGTTCACGGTTTGATTAATTATTTTCCGCAGGAACCACAACCACAATCTTAAGGAGATAAAAGTGCACATATTTCAGCAGGACTGTAATAGAAAACGCTTACGTATGCTTAAGCTCAGCCGTTTAAAGCAGGCGTCATTATTTCGCGAGAAAATTGAAAAAAATCGTAATCAAAATTGAGGGCATTTTCAAGAAAATTGATAACAAACATGCTACAGTGTAACTTGCGCACTTCATCAAGCAGTTTCATCGGTGGATAGTTTTCGGAACAAACCAGTCATTTTTTCAGTTCACGTTTCTCATCAGAGCATCTCAAAACTGGGAACCTTCTGAATTTTATTTTTACAATTCTTAATTTTAATTGATCTCAATGTTGCTCTTGTTCGCCTTTGGACAAATATCGATTTCAAGAAAATGATGCCAAACACTTTCGCAGTTTCTTTCTGGTTTAAAGTTTCTTATTCTTTTGACAATGCAAAAAACAATTTTTCAGTTTCATGCAACCGTCTTTTCCTAAATTTGTGATAAATCAATGCACCTGATATTTTTCAAACAGTTTGCTTGTTTTTCGCTCATTTCTTATTTATTCCACTTTTCTTCGGTTACTATTCGGTTCCTAGTCGTTTTATGAGCTCCTGAAGATGATCTGCCTCACATTTAGATCAACATCCAAATACTCTCCTTGCGAGAAATTGCTCAAAATATTATCGAGTAAACCTAAACAAGTAAACTAAAAAACCATCCAAACCTATAGAAGCAAATTTTGAACATTTGAGAGGCTTATTTTTAAGCGTTGAAGCAAAGTTTGGAATCATCGAATTATCTCGCAAACCGGGCACCAATTTGTATAAACTCTTGTTAGCCCAAAAAAGAAAAAACGCTCTTGCGAAAAAATCTTCTCGGAGTGTTAAACTAAGCATTGTTGACAAATGGAGCGTTTTCCTGAAAATTACAGAAATATATTTCCCCTCATGGAAAAGTAGACACATTTTTGCGGTTTTCAAATTACGCTGGAAATTTTCAACACTGTTCATTGCAAACAAACAAATTTTGGTTCCATTGTTTGTAAATGGATGTAGTGTTAAAATAAACTCAAATATGTTATAAAATTGATCCGTTTAAAAACTGATTTTTTCCTCGGCGAGCGATTATATTCAAAGAGGAATTCGATAATTTAAAAAGTGTTCCAGTACAGTATTACGGTCATTTCCAGAAAAACCATACACTTGACAACAATGCCATGCTCAACTCATTCGCAGTTACAGCGGATAAACAAAAAACGTTTTGTTCAACACGGTATTAGCAGTGAGTTTAGTGAACTGAATTGGAGTTTTGCAAGTGGAACTTAAAAGCGGTGTAGCGTAGGAAATCAAAAGAGTAGAGACTTTTGAAGCAGTCATGCAACAGTGCGCGGCGTAGAATAAGAATAAGAAAAGAACGGCAACCTGGAAGACCTGTTGATAACAGTTTTTTTTGAGGAAGAGCTGTTTGTTTGTGCCTTTTGCGTTTTTTTCAGAAAATTTGCCAGTTTTTCAACGGTTTTCGCTTGAAATCGTCTGCATATCGACACCAACAATTTCCAAATCCGATTCTATCAGCTGGGTTATTACCAAAGGTAATGCACGCAAAACCGACTGAAATAACCGCATAAAAGAACGCTTATCGCTGATCAGATTGGTGTAAATGATCACAAACCGAAAAAAACAACATCGACAAGTGCAAAGCTCGACGGCCCTTAATTCGTGCTTTCCAGTTCCCAGTTAATAGCTCAAGCAGTTGAAATTCGCCTGTTCGATAAATCACATTTTCGTCGATATAATGCACGAACTATTTCTTGGGGGAATACCGGAATTGCAACTCTCACGTTGCGGCGATCCGAACGTTGATTCCCAAAAGACGATGGCCTTTGAAAATGTTTACGAATTTAAAAAATCCATTTCCGTTGAAGTCCTTTGATTTTCATCAATCCGCTCTAGACGCGATCGATGGCCGGCTATTCAACAATTCCACCCGTCCAAAACAAATCGGTCTCATACTTCTTTAAGTCGTGGCGTGGCATTAAACGCCATCGTTCACAATTAGCCGGGCCTGCATTTAAACAAATAACCGTCAACTAATTATCATTAAACATTATGGCTGGTCATCGATTGGGCTCAACCTGCCGGCATTTCACAGGCCAATAAATTTATCTAACGGCGTCATTCTATTCACGCGTCCCCGATTTGCAGAGAATTATTGTCGACATACAAGGGCCAGTAGATATTTAGCCATTGGATTGCAGCAAAACAAACAGCCCAGCGACATGAAATTTTAGTCTAATAGGGCGAATTAGATTTGATTAATTAGGCGAAAATGAAACTGCATGTTGTGCCCGTTCAAATCAAGCAAAACCAGCTTTGCAACAACAACAGCCAGCCAACGTTGTCAACAGCGCTTAGTCCATCTCGTTAAAGCTTCGAAACAATCAGTTTTTCCTGATAACATTCCAGAAAATGGCGTCATTCATTTGAATGCTCTCTTATGCACTAAGATGTACCAGTACTTCAAGTAGGTACAGCAATTGTATTTCAAGTGCCTTTATTGTTTGGTGCTTGCTCTTGAAGTTCTACTCACAAAGTACCTACTTATTTGTGTTTGCTTAAACTATCAAGAACTTTTTACGTCTAGTACTAGACGATTTCAAATACTTGAAGAGGAATTCAAATATTCACAAAATACTTCAAATATCGCGAAATTATTCAAAGTGTAGATAGAGAAATTACCAGGACTTGCCCATGTTTAGTTTGCATTAAAGTACGAAAAAATGTA